GTGGGGTGTTTTGAATAATACTAACGGATGCAACCAAGTATGCTGGCGTCCAAAAGAAATGTTACCAGGCATTTGCGAGCTCGCTCGCGTAGAAGGAGTTGTGATGTCTTTTGCTGAACAAGTCAACATCGCTTCAACATTATTAGCGTTTACTCGCCAACCTTTGAGCGCTGTGCACGTGCCACGTCAGGAAAATGCCTAATTAGGTTTCCTCCATGCCATATACACAGTTCAGATTTCATAGGAACAGGAATACAAAACGGGAAGTCGCGCGGTGACTCTGATGAGCTTGTGTGACTTAAACTGGATTGAATCTGCACTTCATCATAACTGGCAGAACACTTAACTTTGAGAATCGCTACATTTCTCAAGGTCAAGTGTTCTACCAGCTTGGTCAAAGATGGCGTAACGCATGTTGCGTTATACTCTCTTGAGCATTTTCATCGCCCCGTCCTTTTGTTGCTGCGTTAGCCTTGGCATATCTCTGATATTTTTCGGAGACGGTATGATATGCATAGTGAAATCAGCCCATCTGTTATCTATGGAAATCTGAAATTAACATATAGCATGGAGAAAACTTGATTAGGCATTTTTCTGACGTGGCACGTACCCAGCGCTCAAAGATTAGCGAGCACACGCTTATGTTCAAGCGGTGTTGACTTGTTCAGCAAAGGATGGATATAATGCTATCACAACGCCTACTACGCGGGTGAGCTCTAGATTACCTTGTAACGTTTCTTTTGGACGCTAGTAAAGAAAATAATCCCACAACTGTTGCTGCTTGTCGCGATTTGCACAATTCTGTGGGACCTCGTGAGGGAGTAAAGATAGTGGTAACCCAACAACAAGCTTTGAGGAAGATCAAACGCGCCAGCTGGATGATTTGATGAGTAAGATGAATTGATCTGCTTCTAGATCCAGCACGTCTGCTGTGGCAGTCCATGACACGCTCTGTGTCAACATTTCCTAAAGCCACATGGCAAAATGGATTGGCAATATGCCAAAGTACAAATTGGGCCTAAAAAGCAGAAATAAATTTATTAAAGTATAAATGTTGAGCAAAAGAAATCCATAAATCTCCTCTGATTCTTTCACTTCTCTGCTTACAACAATCCAGGTCAAATCCACTAGGGCAAGATTAATGTGGTCCCATAGATCATTGGATTTCTCGAGGCCCTGCAATAGTTTTATATTTTTCTAGACTTATTCCTTATTCACCTTGACGTCAGTGAGAACTTTTCTCGGTAAACTCGCCAACTCAACAGATGCAGCAATGTTAAAGCATATACAAAAGTAGCGCAGCTGCTAATTTGAGAAGTATGTATTACACATGTTTCTAGCGGGATGAAGCATGCTTCACCAGTGTATGGCGCCCGGATGCTTGCTACGTGTTCCATCAAATGAAGCGCTTATCATACACGTATGATATTCCCTTCAAGGAAATGTATCACCAGTGAGCGGGGGAGGCCTGCGTTAAGCTAATTTCATATTGGGCTTATATGATTCATCCTATAAACATGTTCACCACGTTACGAGACAACGGTGTCTCGAGACTGGTAACGCACCGTTCCGACAATTTGTAACGTGATGAGAAACATTAAGGGCGTCCACAAATGAAACTAACTTTGATGCGAAAATGTTTTATAAATAACACAAAACTAGCCTGGGTAAGAAATGTCAAATGGATTCCCGCAGTGAACGCGTTAAACACATTCTCGTACCAGCCCTATCTTAAACTAATCCGACATTTTATATGAAATCAGACAATAGATCCTTCAATTGAACCGGTCTGATGCATCTCACTAAGATGCATATTAGGGCTGACAATCTTATATATATATATATATAATTTTTTTATTTTTAGAACCGGTTCACCGATCCATTTAAGGGTCGGGGTCGGTAAATCGGTTTAACGTTCTTGGAATGACGGCATGTAAAGCTTTATTTCCCGGCTAGGCTATTTCCCGCGCAATATTCGGACCGACCAAGTGAACGCAACTTCTGCACAAAACACGGTGATAGTTAGAAGCTTCATGTTTGAACTCGGGTAGAGAGATTAAGATATAAGGTGGATCCTTGTCACCCAAATATGCTACATTGTTTCACTCGTTACACTTGCACTCCGCCATTTCTGCTGTTCCTTGGTACAGCTTGTAGATGTGGCGCTTGGTGCGCCGAACGTCGATGGCCAACAGCAAGAATGGCAAGGACTGCAGAACGATCAATCGATCCGGGACGTTTATTTCCCCAGTTGTATGTTGTATGGAGCGGTTTCAGATAGAGAAAGAGAATGAAATAAGTCAGAATTCAGGAATAGATAGACTGAGAATTAAAAAAAAGGATAGGCTGAAAGACCACAACGGTTTCCCGTTTCCAAGTTATCTTCTCATGGGAAAATAATCCTTTGAACATACCTTTTCGTAAAAATGAACCGATTTTGAGATCCGGTAACCGAACCTATCGTCGGATAACCAGCGCCATTCCTATCTGAATATGGAAACGAATGGACAGTGCTCCTCTTTAGAGCCAAGAGTTGTTCAAAATGTCTACTTGAGATTACTCTAGAACTTATTCCACTATTTAAAAAAATACCTAAACTAATGTCACAGACATACAGGGTGGTCCACAAAATCTTAGACTCCAAAACAGGCAACAAAACTGAACATACCATTGGGTAGAATAAAATGATCAGGGGACTTCATAATTGCCTCTATGAATAATAAAACTAATAATAGATTAACGTAAAAACGAAAATTTGGTACTTGCAGTCATTTCGTCCGGAATTCAACTCCATGCATTCATTTTTTACCCATTATTTTTCCGTGGCTGTGAGCCAGTCAAAAATGATGCAACATATTTCCTATTATCGGACTTCTCCAATGCTGGGAGAACAAATCCTATGTGAACACTAGGATTGTTATTCCATTACTCGAATCAAGTTATCGCTAACGACACAAAATGTACCATTTGTTTCGCTAAAATACATCTCGGAATCCCTTGACTGGTCATAGAAGAATGGAAAAACTTGAGACCGTTGCAAGGAATTTCCAATAGGAATGCACAGGAATTCATGGGCATTCAACTTGGAAAATCGGATGAGACGGATTTCAAAGTGAATTTATGAAATTCTGTGGCACCCATGGTGCAGCCAATTCGCAGCTTTAGCATTATGATTGATAATGGGTACAAGTTTCCCTCTGCATACACTCCATGAATCAACCCCCCATTTTGAGTCTTCCAATGACAACAGGTCATGATTTCATTCGCAACGCAAGGGCTTATTTAGTACTAAATGAAGACCACTGGGAGATATCAACGAGCAGCTTACTTCTACATATTCGTCAGAAATCATTCCCAGGACCTGAACCTATGCAGAAACGGAAGGAAGAGGAAGAGGGGGGGGGGGGGAAGGGGGGGGAAGGATTGAAGGGGGGGGGGGGTTCGATGTGCAGTCAACTAATCAGATTTTCCCCCCATATATGTTCATATGATATACTGTATATGATAGACTACATATATCCCATATATCATATATGATGTGGGGGGGGGGGGGGGGAAGGGGTTGGAAGGATTGAAGGGAGTGGGGTGTTCGATGTGCAGTCAACTCAAGCTGGCTTGTAAAGGCAAGAAAGGACGGGAAAAGGGAGAGGGGAGGGGAGGGCAAGATAGAGGGGAGAGGAAGAGACAATGAATGTCGGACGGGTGCATTGAAAAGGAGGAAGACTTGAAGCGAGAGAGAGAGAGCCACAGGCTGGTCGGTTTTATCGGCGTCCCGCCACACAATGCGAGTCTTCACCCGTCAAAAGTTCAAGTTATCTCGGCGCTCCACCACGAGCCCCCCACTTCCACTTCCCTCCTTCCTTTTGTACCCCCGTTCACCTCTCCCGGGACCCCAAACATCCCTCTCTCCACCATTCCCATATCAACACCAGAGAAATGAGATAGGAAAAAAAAAGTGTGTACAGCAGGAGAGTAACAATTTGGCTTCAACGTAATAAGAAATTTGAATATAAAAGATAATCGCTTTCCACACGCTTACTTATTCGATTCATGAATGTCTCTCTTCTTTCCCTGAGGATCTGGGTTGGATAAAGGACAGGAAAGGAGGATGACATCCCTATGACCAGGGAAAAGGGATTGAGGGGAGAGAAAAGAGTATAGGGAGGAAGAGGAAGCGGGAGAGGGAAAGGGGATATTGAGGAGGTTGATTGGGTTATGGTTGGAAGCCTGAGGCCATGCAAGTCTTCGTCCCCATGCAAACTAGTTTCCTGATCAGGATTCAATATCCTCCACCACCGAAACTCGCTTGGCTCTCTCCCTCTTTTCCATCGAATGACAATGGGAGAGGACAAGAGAAAACTTTCCCTCTTCCTCCACACGCAGCTGAAGCTTGTCCCTGAATCTTTCACAAGGACTATAAGGGGGAGGAAGAAACAAGTGACAGAGTGAAATGAGATCATACTAGACTCAGTATTCTGGAAATGTATACCGTCAGAGACGAGTGAAGTCGGGGCGATACTACAGGAAAGAGGCGGCTATCCAACCGCTCACTCAAGTTATTACAGCCTTCTTTGTCCGTACAATTTTTAATCTTCACATAAACAAGCATTGTGGCTTTATTTTGACTATTGATTATCATTGACTATTTACAAGCGAAAATCTTATTTGCACATACAGAGTTACAACTATGTCATGTTTCGTCATGTATGACAACTTCCTCACAGTTTTGGAGAATTCTCAACAGCAGACCTCACCATAAAACTTATTGTTCTACCGGCTTAACCAATGAATGCTTTTTGGAAGAGACACTTCAATTGTAAGATTACAGAACTAGACTGTTGTGGCAAATTTTGTTACTCAACTCCTCGAATTTTCCAATACTTTCGCAATATCAAAACATCCATTCAAACAGGTGACATTGACATTTATTTCTGTGCTTCTGTACATAATACAGCACTTCAAAGCTCCATTATTTTAATCACTTCTTTCAAATTAATTAATTAATAAGTGGGAGTCACATGGTTTCCCGTTTCTTTCTCACTAGTCAGTTTTTCTTCCCTCTTCTGCCAAATTTCTCGCAAGAGGAACACCAGCTGACCTTCCTTCTCCGTGATGTAGTGTAGTTGTTCGTGGCGGCTTTGGTCGTTATGGTTCCAGGTTAAAGGGTATTTTCTCCTCAAATCCTCGTATCCTGCACATTCCGATAAAATGTGCAGTCTCCTTCTTCTCACACCAAGGGCAGACGGAAATCCCTCCTACTCCTGTCTTTGTTTGCCACTTCCAGGTCCCTAACCTTAGCAGAGCAAAAGTCCGCCTGTATCCTTTGTATCTTTCTAGATATTGTTCCGGACCAAAGCAGGTCTTCATTCTTTGCAGAACATTCAATGTTGGTTTAACTTCTATTTTTGCTCGTTGCTGCTGGAAGCTGATATCCATGCATCTCCTCTTGCATTCCGTTAAATACCAGTTTCCTCCTGGTCCGAAATGCCACACATATGAGAATCCTAGCCGATCTAATATTCCTTTTATATATTTTCCCCAGGAGTCTTGGTTGCCCTCTGCCCACTTTTTTTGTAACTCGTAACACTCTTTAACCATGGGGTGAGTATGAGATCTGACCCTAATCCAGTATTTGACCATCCTCCACCACTGTATGGACATCATGTCACCTCTTCCGTGTCCGAGGAGTATGGCTGCGTTCGGAGTGTCTCAACTCACACCCGTAATACTCTTCAAGAAGGACGTTAGCAGCTTTTCTATTTCATCGTGCTCCCGAGATCCCCAAATTTCCGTTCCATATAAAACTGTGCTGGTGACAAGGGCGTCGAACAGCATACGTGCGAGACTACATGGACTATTTGGATTTTTCTTTATAAAGGTATTCAAGGAGTGGAGTGCTCCCTTACCTTTATTTTTCACATTATCGATGTGTTTGTTCCATTTCCCTGTGTGAGAGAGGACGATTCCTAAGTATGAGAATGAAGGTACTACTTCCAATGGATCCTTATCGTAGAACCACTTTTCGTTTCTTCGTCTCTTATGCCCTTTGCTGAACACCATCACTTTCGTCTTCTTTTGATTGACTTGCATTTTCCATTTTTCACAGTATTTTTGCAGCTGATTCAATGCTCTCTGTAGTCCTATTGGGGACAATGACATGATAGCTAAGTCATCTGCATACAGTATGCAGCGTATCTCCGTGTTTTTGATCGAGGGTGCATGGAAATCTTCTTCTGCTAAGCATCCAGGTAAGTCATGAAGAAACAGTATGAAGAGCAGAGGCGATAACTGACATCCTTGACGGACTCCTATGTTATTCTTGAAGCTCTCTCCGCATCTCCATTAATCCACCCTCTCTGATGCCGTGGTCCCTTCGTGAATACGTTCCATGTATCTAACAAACTTCTTTGATACTCTCAGATCTCTCAGTTTCTTCCACAGTAATTCTCTCCTCACTCTGTCAAAGGCTTTCTGAAAGTCTATAAAAGCTACATATAACTTTCCTTTCTTCCTGAATGTCTTCTGGGCTAGAGTGTAAAGAATTAAGACGCAGTCTATGGTGGACCTTTCCTTCATGAATCCGAATTGCTCTTGGGGTACTGCTCCTTCTTGGATTGCCCACGTAGTGAGTCTCTCTCTTAGGATACTGGTCAGAAGTTTGCTCATAACAGGGAGAAGCGATATTGCTCTGTAGTTATCTACCTCGAGCGGATTTCCTTTCCCTTTGTACAGCGGGACTATCAAGCTCCTTTTCCAGCATTCTGGGAAGATGGATTTCTCATACATCATCGTGAATATCTGGGCAATGATCTTTAAGTCTTCTTCTTGAAGTATTCGATACATATCTGCAGGAAGGCCATCGTCCCCTGCAGTTTTGCATGTTTTCATCTGCAAAACGTTTTTTTTTTTCACTTCTGCTTGCCGGATTGTCAAGCTTGGGATATGATTTTCAAGTTGCTCCATAATAATTGTCGACTCCGAACAGAATGTCTGGGAAAAGTGTTCCTGCAGCTGAGACAAGGGTGGGGTTCTCATGGAACCTAGAGATAGGCTCTTATTAGAAGAGAGTTTCACGAGTCTCCAGAGATTTTTCTTATTTCCTTTTTACATTGCTTCGCGTAACTCCAACTCTCTTTTCTCTCTTTCCCTCTCTTTTATTCAAACAGGTGCAACGACTCAGCTTTCGCTTTGACGCGGGAAGGAAAAAGAACCCCCTTTTCATCTGCTCCCCCAGAGGGTCGAAAGTGACTCACCTGCGGAGAACCTGGGGACGTCGTCACCAGAGGACGGCAAGGGAATGTCCAGGGGTGCCTCACTCGTCACCCAATTCCTAGCCACCTGGCACAGAAAAATATACATTTTCCAAAGTTTCCTTGGGTAAATCTGAGAATTTTAAGATACTTTTTAAAAATAAAATCCTTCGGGTTTTGAGGAATAATCTCGAAAATGGAGATCTCGACAGATCTTAAGTTAAGGTCTCGATTTCTGGGAGTATCGTCTTCACACGAGAATTGCCTCACAGAATACGGAAGCAAAGGAAGAGCTCCGACGCTTCTTCCTCCAGTCAACGTAAGAACCAACCATCCAAGCGTTTACGCTAGACCTAACTCAGATCAGGAATGGCAGGGTGCGGCAACGCGGATTGGAAGGCAAGGATAACATGGAGCGAGTTGAGAGATTCGTTATAACATGTAATAGCTACTTCTTTTCCTGATCCCCTTCCAAGTATTCTCGAAGCTCAGATTCTTGTGTGATATTGGTAGCTTCACTGAGGGGAATTCCTCTTGCCCAGAGAAGGGAACGACAGCAGGAAACAGCAGTAAAAGGAGACTCCCGATAACGGTTAGCGATCAGTTTAGTAAGCTTCTCGGGCAACTGCTAAGTCCTACGACCAAAAGGTGGGTTGGTCGCGCTACATCGCTTGGTGAAACTTTAGCCCAGATAAACCGCGAGAAGGATGTTCCTGTACGTTGAAACTTGGTGTATAATGTGCAAACCTTCGTCAGCGACTTTATGGACACCCGTACTTGAGCGCCCCATTTGCGGTAAGATTGGAAAAGGAGGTTTCCACCAAGGAACAATTTCCCCACTATCATAAGCCATATAGAAACTGTAATCATGTTGCATTTATTCCTAAATGAGAGTGTGTGTCAGTAGCGGAGAGCTGACCACAGCTGGACATATTTATGAGAACGGAAGACGTGGTAAAGTTAACGTATGTCACCCTATGGGGCAGGGAATGGGGCCCACCTGCTCTCTCTGGTTTCTTGCATCTGGGTGACATAAGACCCCCTCCTCTCAACTAATTACCTCTTTCTCGACTCGTCTAATGACGACGGGTCTCCCAGACATACACACACACACACACGTGTGGGTCTTTGTGGTCACAACACCATCCTTTGCCTTTGCCAGAGGGGGAAGGGAGAAGGCGAAAGACAGTATACGTTCCATGTCCATCATGGCTGACTCAGAGCCCATGGGAGATAGGGAAGGGAAACGCCTTGTTTTAATCTACTCTTCATTATACCTCATCATGGATGTCAGGTATATAGGGAGAGTCGTCCTATGTTGCAGGAGAGGAGGGATTCCGAAGACGAAAAGTGGGTCTTTAAGTTCATTCAAACTTTCATACGTGGAAACAGTCGCAGGACTCTTCCACACAAATATAGACAAAATCCACCGAAAGCCTCATCACAATGCTGTTTTATTATAAATCTTTTCTCCATTTTGTTGCAATAAAAGAGGCTAGGGAGGGAGAGGAGGCCCTGAGAAGGAGAGAGAGGATTGCTCAACCCATCTCATAGGATAAGAGACAGAGATGCTCACGCGGCGTGCATGACCTTTCACCTCTCACGGTCAGAGAGAGAGATGACCAACTTCCTCTCTTCCCACGCACATGATTCTTGGACCTTCTTCCTTCCATTCCTCGGGCCTTTCACGCCCCACCGAAGCACGTCCCGAGTCCCTCAATCTCTCTCTTCTTCACTATCTTTCATCCTCAATTGTTTCATTGCATGCAGGAGAGACTACTGCACACTCGTGAGGTTGAATCTACCTTTTCATTCATTTCCGTAGACTATATGGGATTGTTGATTTCGGATGTTATCATCCCCGGGGATATAAACTAGGACTGGGAATCCCTTTGTTGCAATACCTAGAGAGAAGAAAGGGAGTCTCGTTTCTCTCTCTAGGCATTACAGCAAGCGGAGTGAATACATTTAGGGTGCGAGTGGGAGCGGAAAGCTCTCCAGAGAAGGTGCAGGGACAGCTGATCGTAAAACCTGGATAAACCAAGCAGGACGTGGGAGGGGCACAACAAACCTAAATATAATGTTTATTCTGTGGGAATGCATTTACTCTGGGATGGATCACTGACAAGTGTTTTTCGAGTGCGATGATATTGTTCATAGCACACTAACAGTCTCAAATATGAATAGAAACCATATCCAATTTTTTTAAATTGGACTTACCAACAATCGAAAATCGGAAGGAACAGAAGTGAAACACGCTCGGGAGAGGCAAGAGTGTGACGGCGGTTGTTCGAAAGGGTGACCAGAAATCAATATACTGTATAAATCCTAAAGTGGGAGCAAAAGCATTTCGGAACGGCTCGAGTGCTATTTCTCAAGTTTTCATCCATCAGCAGAGCTCGATGTAATCGACAGAGAGATAGCCATCAAAAACGTCCCAAAAAGCAGAATGCCGATCAAAAAGATTATGAAAAAGCAATGATAATGACACAAGAACGTTCTCGTCTAGATCAGCCATCATCAATAAGGGCGACAGTCGTGACGACCGTTGCAGGGTCGACACTTTCACAGGTATCGAGCAAAAAAGCAGGGGTGGGATCCACTATACAGGGTGTCCCGTAAGTCGCTATACTATTTCAAAGAGCAATATTTTCGAAACTGTAACAACTAGGTCAATGTTGTTAGCATTGATGGAAAGAATGTTCTTTAGAATTTTTTAATTATTATTAACAATAATGACTTGGAATCAGACTCAACATAAATTGCTTCAAAAGCATATTAGAAAGTTGTACTTCTTTGGGGCGATATATGGTACACTTTGTTGATTACTCTTCTAAAAAAAATTCCTATACTTCATGTTTTTAAATCCTAATTTCAGATAGACTTGAGAAACGGGAAAAAATCATTTCGTTTAATTTGTTTTCGCTGTCATGAGAAATGGCTTCACAATTGACTCTTGAGCAACGATGGAAAGTTGCCACCTGGATGGAGGTCTTTACGAGTATCACCAGAGTTCAATAGGAGTCTCGGCAATATTTTGGAGCTGAGTCTCAAGCCAAATGTATTGATATAGGCGAAGGCATTTTGAGCCACTCTACTTTTGATGAATATAATTCCGAATGACTGCTATCGTTCAGTTGATGTTACTTCTTTTTTGAGCCAACTGTTAAGTAGATGAGAATTTTTAAATGGTATAGTGATTTATGAGATGCCCTGTAGAGCTTCAGATTCCACATTGCTTGAAAAAAAAAGTCAACGTGCATAGATTTTTTATACGTTGGCTACTATAGAGATCCACCCACGACAATACACACTTTAGGAAATGCTCATACATCCGAAAGTAAAGCTCGCGCAATATTTAACAAAGTCGAAGTCTTGAATTCGGCACACGAACTTGCTTGACACACAGTTCAAGATGAGCAAGAAACAATTGGCAGCCAGAGCTCCCCGTTTACAACGACTTGCAATACAACTTTTTTCGCCAGCAAATATTTAAAACATACACACACCTCACTTCCCTCATGGAATGCTATGCTGGCAAAATTCCTCATCAAAGATTAGAAAGTTGCCGAGATCGAGAGAAAGGGTTCTCACTGCAACTGGGATGCCCCCAGGGGCATCACTAATATCCATAAGAAGTTCAACACCCCCCTCTTTAGGAATCCTTAACCTCTTAAACGTGCAGTATTTTATACGGCAATGTTCCTCTAGGGATTATGCACTTTTCTTATTTGAAACTCGTATTCAGTTGACTTCTGATTCAGACTTGCTTTCGTACAAATTTTGAGCGTAAAAAGTTAAAAATTCACTGCCACTGAAAATGCCATAAAGCACAAGCCCCGCTTAAGGAATTACAGGATTGCAGAAGGGCAGCCCTTATCCTTAACGAGAAAGGTCGCACTGCCATTGCCTGGAATAACTGACCACCTGCGCCAAGGAAATATTCCCTCACAAGGAATGGAACTGTGACTGCATTGATAGAGACAAAGAAATGAAGATTAGTACCACGATAACAAATTTATTGTGCCCATCTTTGTCCGAAGTTTTCTTTGCCTAAAGGTTTACTACAGTTATGCATATCTTTATAGTGTTCCTAGCGAGTCAGCCATTCCAGGTTGGCAAGTCGGAATGCTTCCTAATTATCGATCCATTCTGAGAGGGCTATATCACTGCTCTTTTCCTAGCTAAATATTCTGCAATATGCAATTTCAAGAAAAAAGGCTTCAGAGTTTGATTGAAAAGGGGTTCATAATGTTCTCAACTTGGTTGGGAAAGCTCGAATCGAACTGTGGCTTGGAAATGTAGCCAAAAACTTAAAATCTCTCTGCCTCTTCGGAAGTGAACCAAGACTATCATCAAAAAAGTTCGACAGACCCGAGAGAATCCCACCAGCCCGAAGATACACGCCCAAGAAAGTGGGCGAGTCTGAGGAAACTATCAACTGCATTATCGATAAATATCTGGGAGGACGGAAAAGATTTCTGGCAGAGAGAAGAAACTTCTTCCTCGTCGCTCCCAAGAGCACAAAACCAATGCCCGAAAGTTGTAAGAAAGCCATCTTTCTGGAGAAAAATTGAAAAAATGTAGCGACGTTGGATAAAGCTTCTTTTTCTCTGAGTAACTGCAACGAGGACCATTCAATGCGTTCCTCGGGGTGAAAAACATTATCAAAATGTGCCACTGATGCGAAACTTTCAAAACGTTTCGTTGCATTCGCATGCAAAAAAATGACAGTGGCTGGATATTGTTGTGCAACAGCAAAATGACAGTGAAAAAAAAAAGTGTCACGAAAAGTGAAAGTGATTTCTGAATTTTATTCAATAATTTTTTTTTGTTTACATTTCTTTACGAGCTGGATATTCACTAGGTGAAAACGCCGCCACTTTCGTTGAGGTGCGTCAAGAGAAAACCTCCAGCCACACCTTAGCTTCAAATAGAACTTTCCTGAAGAAGATGGAGGAATCTACCTAAATTCGCATCATTCCTTCTTAAGGCATTGCCGTAAAGTCTTCCGATGGATTTTTGTGGGTTTGGCATACTCAAGAGACGCTTGGGAAGTGGGCGGCCAGAAGGGAAAATGAGACTTAGGAAAACTTGGGGGGAAGAGTGAGAAACGACACCCCTTGATGCACTGAGGAGGAGCCTCTACGAATGGAAACAGAGATGTCGGGCTATTGTCAACATCAGGAGCACTAGATCGAGCATGATAGATGGTGGAGGAAAATTTAAAAAAAGGTATCCTCAATTTTAATTATTTTCATTACCATAGTTACCGAACAACCCTCTGTACATCCTAGCTACGATTATAATTGTGACAGTCACAGGGAAGAGAAATGAGAAATCTATTCCTCAGAATGTTCCCTCTATACATTTAGGATTCTGATCGACATTGCTAGAGGGATGGAATATACATTCATATATATTCGACTACGCATATTGGAATACTCACGGGACCAGCGAACTTGATTCTATAATCCAGAGTATTCCAATAACTGAAACTATATGCTGTATCGTACCGTATACTGGGGCCGTGCGATGGTATTCCATTATGCGGAGTCGACTGCATCAATGCCTTGAGAATACACCTCTCTACAAACAGGATCGAGATGATCTCTGTTAGACGAATAGAAGCGAGCGTCTATACTCACTATTGAATCACAACAAATAGGATTGTATATGTCATAACACGGGGATGAAAATGGGAAAGCAATGCAAAGGTACTACGAAGAGCATTATTCCAATAATGAGGATGGAAACAAGAAATGAGAACCAAAGAAACATGATCGCACACCAAAAAGGATTAGGATAATCAATGCTGGAGGCATGCGAGTGAGAAATCACTGTTTATGGAATATCACCTCATTACAACTAGGACTGTGACAGTCATTCTTAGAGGAATATACAGGGTGTCTCAAAATTATTCATCCAAAAGTAAAATTTTATTTCTCGAAAAGCAGTAGATGTAGAAAAGAGAAAGTTGGCAGTAATCTAGTCTAAGGGTGGATTTTTGAACCGAGCTCTAAAATAATCCTGCTCTATTGGATAATACAGCTCTATAAAGTGGAGCATTATTTTTTCGATTTTTGAACCGGCCAGATAATGCTGCATTTGACAATGCTCTATTATAATAATCCTCGATTATTTTCAACACGACACGAATTGTTACATGAAACGCAATTCGCCATCATTTCGCATTTTATTTATTCGTGAACGACCCTGCACGACGAC